ACAGAGAACATGTGCCACAGGTCTTCAGACAGGGGTGGGACAGCTTTAAAAAGGGTACATCACCCCTTCTGGTTGGATAACGTACTATTTAAAGGCTGATGAGAATATATAAGACACATATGATCATCCTAACTGTTGTGAACAGACATGCTAGTACATGCTAAGTAATAAAAAGGCTCAGGTTTTGTTTGGGCATTTTTAATCAGTTGTGCTTCACTGTATGCTTTCCTCACACTATAAACTTTAATATGAGCAGGAGATTGGGCTCTGTGTGCGTGCGTGTGTCATCTAGGACAGGTTAGGATTATATTAGTGCCACATATGTTGCATTAGAAAGGTTCAGAGTTAATGCTGGGTGAAGTCTGAGTTAGATTTCACTGAGAAATGGGTCAGAGTCAGGTCAGAGTTGGGACAGGACTGCAGTGAGTTCAGACTCAGACCTGTTACAAACTCCTCAGCTGCAGGAATGAAAATAAAGCTTTCTGATCAGACTGAACTCGTAGCAGAGCTCTCATGGTGCAGATATCAAATGAGACTTATTTCAAACCCTTTACAAACTCAAACCCTTCCGGTGTTCCTGCTTCATGCAGCCAGCTGCTCCGAAATAACCATACAGTTGTGAATGAGGGCAGACAGGCCCCTCTTTCTCATGGATGCAGCCATGCATAATTATTCTCACCATTATGAAGATAAAGTTGTTGTAAATATGGTGGGTGCTCGTCAGTGATGGAGATGATGTGAGTTTGTGAACTTTATGAAAACTAACTAAAAATCAAAGAGTTGACACCAACAGGAAGTCAGACAGAGAGCGAGGGAGCTAACAGGCCGAGTGGCTTTAATCTGCCTCTCCAGACCAGGTGTGCCAATCAGCTGACTGCTTAGCACTGCAATGCTACATTCAAGGATACCTAGAAAAACAGAGCTTTTAGAGGCTGTGCATTACCATACTGCACACCAACTTCAAATCAAATCATTCACTGTCTGGATAACTCTGCCTATGCAGCGCAAGAGAGAAGGCAGTGTTTTACACGATAACACATCACATGCAGTGATGAGACATCAGGGTCACCCCTAATTATCTGATTTGAAGGCTGATGCCTTTGAAATCTTGCTAGTTTTCTTTCTGTGATATTGATTACGATTTGATTCCTCACCACTTCCTCTTCCTGGATAACAACCTATTTTTAGTGATGGCTTTGTGGAAAATGTGCAGCCATGCTTAAAGATGCCAGCTGATAATACCTTGCAGAATCTGCTGGGGTGAAGTGAAGCTCAACAAAACACAGGGAGCAGTTTCAGTGGATTCATTTATGAATTCCATGCAATCCACAGCTGGTTCAGCCACTGCTCTTCATGCTCCAGCTCACAGGCTGCTCGCTTGTCCTGGTTCCACTCATCACTTCCTGTCTGGACAAGCTTTTTCTTTTTTAAAAATTTCTCACCAGTGTCCCGGGATCAGTGTGGCCCAGGCTGCAGGTCTTTGTAATGTCCTGGGCCCCCTGGGTGTAAAATCTCAGTGGGCCACAGCCTATCACAATGCAGCGTGTTGCAGGTTTTTTATTTTTATTTGGTTATTTAAAGTTTTTCATAATCATAATGATATCATATCCTGGGGTGGAACAAATAAATCAGTCATACACACATAATGTACTGCAAAAAGCATCAGATCTAAAACTAACCTCTCATGCTTTTAGCCCTCAGTAAAACTGAACTAAACTTAATGAACTTACAAAACTGAACTTACAAAAAAAGATAACTAGATCCAATATTCAGTTCAAATCAGACTGATAAACAGATAAAGCAAAGTTTTGTCATGAACTGTGAAATGGTGACATACACAGCGGTGTCCTCTGTTAGCTCTCGTTATCTCTGGGTGAATCTTGTCTCCTGTCCTTTGAGTTTTATCCAGAGAAGAAGTCACAACCTACAGCATCAGTGTCTAACAGACAAGTTCACCTTCAGATCAAAGATCTATTGTCCTCCTTCAGCAGCAAACACAAACACCTGCATTACACTGTGTTATCCCAATAACCTGTGCTGCTCTTTGTGTTGGCAATCACTCACATGAATTTTCTGTGTTGTAGTTTGTAAAAACGTGCATTGTCAGCTGATGACCTGCAGAGCTTTCTACTCACATCAGCTTTGTAAATCAAACCCTTCAATGGTGTAAAAAACTGGCATTTTAGATGATTTTATATAAACATTTAATAAGTGCGGCTTTTGTCTGTCCGATTACTTTTTTCAAGTAACGAGTAAAGTAAGGGATTACTATTGCAAAAATGGTAATTAGATTACCGTTACTTTCCCGTAGGAACGCTGCGTTACTGCGTTACTAAAACTGTGATTTTTTGTGAGAATGTCTCATGACAGTAACGTAAGCAAGTGCGACGTTAGTGACAACAGCTGTGTGCAGATCAACAATGGATAATATATTGAGTGCGGGAGAGAGTATGAGCGTGCAGCGTTTAAAGCGTGAAAGTACTGACCTTACTTTGAGTTTGATTCCATAAAAAGTGACAAATACATTAGTGTCCGCTGTGCGTGGGAAAAAAACTTCTTTTTACAGCGAAAAAAACCCCCTAAACTTCCAAGCAAACACCGAGTGCACTACGACATAATGGGAAATTCACAGAGAAACTCGCGGATTCTTCCACTGACCGCCGCGGCACACCTGCACCAGAGTAAACATCCGCCTACCCTACTCCTGCTTTACAGGTGAAAATAGAGCAAAAGGACTGCTGAGTCTTTGACTTTATTTATTTTCTGCTGTGTTTTACTTGCATCTATTTGAAAGAGTGAGTGTAAACACACACACACAAAAAAAAATTATGTGCTGGAATGTGCAGAAAATAGGTTTAAATATTAAACAAATTTCTTCCAGTCAGAGAATGTTGCATATAATTAAATTTTTGCTTGATGCATAAAGTTAAAAGATTAAAACTAATAAAACAAGTTTTAAAAAGGGACTTTTCCATTTGATTACATTTTGTATAATGTATTATGTAGAAAAAGTAGAATTGGGCTGAAAGCTCTATCGCTTTATCACCTATTCAGGTTGTAAATTGTGTTTTTAAGAAGTAACTAAGTAACTAAGTAATTAACTACTTTTGAAAATAACAATCAGTAAAGTAACGGGATTACTTTTTTGGGGAAGTAATCAGTAATTAGTTACTGATTACTTTTTTCAAGTAACTTGACCAACACTGGTTAGAATAACTGACGAAGAAAACTAAGGGATCCAGGATTGAACCCTGTGGGATGCCACATGCTTGGTGAGGATAAGTATGATGAAAAGACTCTGAATTAGGGTCACTTGTTGTTAAGGGCAGTTCAAAAGTGCAACCAAATCAATTTTATGCCCACTCCAATCTGTGCTTTGTTCTGTGACCCTGAGTGTGGTGGATCTATCACTGCAGCATTTTAACGTCTGTGACGGAGAGCAGCAGAAACCAGCGTTGGTACCCTGGATGTGTTTTCTTCAAAAAGTGTATTCTGGGTTAACTTTGAAGACTCATATCAGTATGTGGGATAAGTGACTGATCACTTAAGTGATCATGTAAGGTGTTTGGTTTTGCATTTGATTTATTTTAGTGGCATTTTTACATTGTTAACTACTTTGTGCAGCATTGACTTTTTGGAAATGTGCTATATAAATAAACTTGACCTTGATCACAGATCTATATTTCTCTTACATTTAGAGACTAGTACCATCTGCTAAAAGTGAAAAAAAGCTGGACAAACAAAGGTGACTTAAACAGAGCTAAATCTGGAGGTATTCATGGCCTGAAATGCTGAAAGCATTCATAGTATGAAGGTCAATTTTGCACGGCTTTATCGATGTGATTTTACCCTTCAAAATATTTCCAGCAGCGTGCAGTAAATGTCAAGCAAAATACACGGTGTCAGATTTGTAATTTCTCTCCTCACAATAAAGAATCTTATCCAATTAAGAAACATTTATTCACTAACTTCACCTTGTCTTTCATGCTACTGTGAATCCTGCAGTTTCATTGTTGGAGTCTTTCTAAGAACATATGTTCATATATGTTATTTTTGTGAATTTAATTTAGCTGTTTCAGACAAGTGAGTCATTTCAGGGGCATGAATGTTTAATTTAAGTGGATGTTTGAGTAATTCGAGGGTACAAATGACCAGACTGAGAGGACGGAGGAGGAACTATTCATTTAAAGGGTAAATTTCTCAAAAGCTCCCACCACCAACTCATCAGAATCTTTTAAATGTGTGTGATATCTGTAAGACCACATCTGACAGAGCGGGGCTGAACGTGAGCTCCTTTAACTCAAAGAAGGGCAAGTTCAGGACAAAGTGTTTTTTTCTTCTTGTGCCATAATCATCCTATAATGACCAGGCCAGTGGAAGACTTCTGTCAGTCAGGTTTTGGTGTAAGTGTAACTCAGTGTTTGGAGTCACCAAAGAATAAACACGAAGTGATAGCTGCTTTCTGTCCTGTCCTTGGCTGCCTCAGCATGTGACTGTTTGTGGTGATGGAGGCAGGTCTGGAGTGAGAACATGAGTCTGATCACACTTCAGCTCTGAGCCTTAAATCTGTCAGCTTCAGGTGGAAATCAATGAAATTAACAAATTCAGGCAATGCAAAAACAAACAAAGAGACTGTTTTAATATTTGCTGGGAAAACATATTTGTGGTCAGTTGTCACGTCTAAAAATCTATTTCCATACAATCTTAATTTTGACCTCATGTTTCTGTGTTCTGCTGTAATAAGGTGATAATGTATTCATATCAAACGCCTTCTTTAAAGGTACTTGCTGTAGTTGCCCTCATGCAGACAAAAACTCTCACCACCAGAGGGCAGCACTTCACCTGTGGGTGTGATGAAGTGTTTTTGGATCTTAAATGTTTCTTTGGACTTACATTTCTTGGTGGAAAACCATTTTAAATAAAACTGTGTTATGTGAACGTCGCTGGAGAGATAATCTAATCCTGCTGGATTTACCTTCAGTGTTTTTCTCTGTTTTCAGGGGAAGAACGATGAGCCTCGTCCAGCTGACAGAGTCCGACAACTGCTGCCATCACCGCTCTTCTCCATCCTCTGATGAAAGTGAAATAAAACAAATTGTGGATGAGACGCCCTCCCATCACAGGAGGACGACCTGATTTTTTTTTTTCAAAGAGCAAAGCTAAAGACTCTGAGGTACGAGGCAAATGTTACTTGAATCCTGCTTCATATATTTGCTTCTTGTCCTCTGGCTGATGGAGGCCTCCATATAATCACGAGTAGATGCTCTGTGGGGAGATGCTCCTCCTGCTGTAGAGAAAAAGACCATTTACGTCCTTTCTGTGCGTTGCATATCATATTCAAACCAAAACATATTATTGCATGCTTGGAAAGTAGAGCATGTGAAGAGAAGAGAACGCGTCCGACTGAACCCAGCACTCTGACAAACGGGAACAACAACATCAGCCGCTCATTGATATTCTGAAATGATTCTGTTCTAATGATGAACTTAGTTGCTAAATCTCTATTTTTTAAAGTATCATACTGTATATGTTTTATATGGAGAGGATTTGGTTCACTTGGTGAATTATTTTGTAGATTTTTAACATTTTTGCTAATGTGTTTGGATTTTCTTTAGTTCGTTTTTTTTGCCTTGGTACAAACAAAGCAGCTCTAGCTCCAGGGGGCAGCTCCGGTGAAGACGTCTGCTCCCTTTGAGAGGAATGTTTGTGCAGGAAACGAGGGTTCCAAAAAGAGACAGCTTAATGCATTTATCACTGAATGTTTCTGTGTGTGGGTTCCTGATCAGAATGCTGTATATCTGTTATGCCGAGAACATCTACCTCAGTGTCTGCTCATTACCAACAGAAGCTTTAACACCCGTGTCCCTGCATCAGCTCTCATTAGGCATCTAATTACTTGGTGCAACTAAACCCAAACGCTCTCCAAACTGCCATTTAAAATCTTGGAGGGAAAAAAGCAACACATTAAATAGTGTGAAATATGGAATATCTGTATGAAGCCGATCCTGACCTTGGATTTAAATATCAGAATTATGCAGTCTGCGTAAAACAGCTTAGAGCCTTGTTTTTGCACATTTTGTTAATTTATTTGTGAAGTTGGATGTGCTCGTGAGCGTATGTGACTGCTTCTGGATGTATTTAAAGGGCAATAAATGAACTGCAGGGTGGAACCAGTCTGGAACCAGAAAGGAGTCCAGTCCAGCAGGTTTTATGGGTACAGACCTGAGGCTGCAGGGTTTAAACTGGACTCTAGTTTTCCTCAGAATCAGATGCGAACATCAGCGTCTCAGTTTTGGGTAAAAACAGCAGAGAAATGAATCTCAGTTTCCATCTGAAGCTGTTTTTAGTGGCTGTTGAGCTCATTTGCTTCAGGGTGCTGATGTCTTCTTTGCTTAATCAAAGGAATTCCAAAGAAGCTGCTCAGCTGAAGGAATGGGCCATGTTCAGATGTCACTGAGTGAGCTAAACTGTGACTTTCTTAACTGCCTATATGCGAATTTCTGCGTATTGTTGCATGACGATGATTTATTCTGCTCATTTCCAGGTCTTTGTTTTTTATCATATGACTCCCCTGCAGCAGCTTTGCATGATCCACAGTTCAGAATAATCCTTCTGTGTCTCACACTGGGCCCCACAGTTCATCCTGTCTGGAACAAGCTGATTTAGCCCCTGTCTCTTTAAGACTTCCTCCCTAATTGTTCACTTCTGATTGGCCAAACTGAGGGGCAGCACGTGTGCTCTTTAAAGTTTTTTTTTTTTTTTTGCCCAAATCATTAAATTTATTCATGTTTATGGTGGTCCAGATGTCCATGTTCTGTCTTGTGTCTGTGACTAGGTTCTCTTTAAATCATTCTGTTTGGATGGTTTGCACCGCCGTCACTTTCTGGTCTTACAGCTGCTTCATGTGAAGCAAAAATCCTCCACCCAGTGCTCATCGCTGGAGAAGGAGCAGCTGCAAAGGCTGAAGTTTTTGAAGGGTGTGTCTACTCTGTGGGCTTGTCAGGTACAAGTTCTGACTCCACAGGTGTGTCACAGCTGATCATTTACAACTCAGCTTTTTGACTTTGGCTCATTTCTCTCTGTTTTCTGGCTCTGCGGAAGATGTGAGGTCATAATGTTTTCTGACATATTGGACTTTTGCTGGTCATGCAGCTGCGTCCACTCTGCAGTTTTGTCTCGTTGTAATTCTGCTTTGCTTAACATAAAAACAGCCGAGGGAGGTTTGTGTGTGACGGAGGCACTGATGAGCAGGGACTGGGCATTAGTTATGATGATTAATGTGTTCTGCATACTCTGCGTGCAATAATAACAGAGTGAATGCAGCCACGACTGAAGAGAAGTCAGTCTGGTCCAAGCGCCACATGTTTAACCATCATTGAGATTCACCACATCGTCCGTTGTGTTCATACTTCATCTTCAGGTTTCAGTTCAGGCTCGTCACCGAAGCTTTTGTCATGCAACAAGAAAAAAAAGCAATAGTGATTTCTCTGTTCTCGGAACTTCAGCGTGGAAGTGTTCTGATTTCTGTTTCTCTGCTTTTGTTTCTTTCCACGTATCGATGCCATTTCTTTTTTTGACAAACTTTAATTGTGATCTATTTTTGATAAAATAAATCTTTAATTCTGATCGATCTCCATGTGTTTCCCATGAATGCACATGCAGATGTGTCACTTTCTGTTGAGTGTGAGTGTGTTTGTGTGCCATCAACATCAGCAGAGGTGCTGGGGTTGGATTTAAGGTTTGTTCAGGTCATTGTTTGATTTACCTTCCTCATGCTGTGGCTCCTCATGGTCTCCTGAAGCAGCTGATGATGAAAGCATTAGTGAAAGGAAATAAAAATTCTAGAAGGAAACTGATTTGTAAAAACTGAAAACCTGATAGAGTCTTTTCTTGTTCTTATCTCCTACAGAAGTTCAGAGAAATGCCACTCAGTGTTCCTGTTGTAAAGCATGATAACTAAAATCTTAAGATCATTTTATGGACTTTATTTTTAATTAAACGCACCATCTCCTTCACATGAACCTGCAACACCAAATGCATTAAAACAAGCGCTAATTTAAATATTTTAGCAAACGTCGGATTTGTTGAATTGTCTTTCAGTCAGTTAAAAAGATTAAAGTTGATTTAAGTTTCATCCAACCTGCAGTATTTCTGTTAACGTAGCATAGACATATAAGGTAGACGTGGGTATTTGCTCATACATATTCAGCACTATAGCCCCAGTAAAGATGCCTCCTCCAGCTTTGTGTCAACTAAAATAACTCATGTTCAGATCTGTTCTGCTGAAGGTTGCAGGTCCACAGCAAAAACTATCATTAAATAATGATCCGCTGGACCTTTTTCATTGATGTCGAGTCAAATTGAAAGTTGCGCTGTTGCTGGAGGCGCACGTTTTTCCTGGACTTCCAGTTAGACATCTTAGTAAGAGAAATTCTGTGTTTTGTTTTACTGATAAGAGCAAATTGAAAGTATCAAGAACAGCTGGCACGGCAGTGTTGTGGTTAATTCAGCGACAAAGTCCAGCGTTCAGACCCACTGGCTGTGTGGAGAACTCTCTGGTTCCTCCAAAGACATGCATGGGTTAGATATATGGAGTAACCAGAACCATTTAACCAAATTACTTAATTTTGGATTAAAGAAGACTTACATGTTTGTTTGTTTTTATTTGATTGCAATAATCTGATCCATATTTGTTGATTTGTCTGAACCTGCATCATCTCGTCTGTCTGTGGTTCAGTTTTTGGTGTCCCACTCTGTCCAGTCTCACCCCGGAACATGACGCTTGCTGGGTATCTCACACTTCCTGCTGTCTCCACAGCAGAGGTCAGAGCTGCAGAGTTACGCCTCTGTCACATAACAGTCACATAAATGGGAAATTCAGCAGATTGAAGTTGGTCTTTAGAGTGAGAGTGCACTTCTTACCCCTAACATCCACCCCGGCTGGCTGGTTCAACCCATTCTTTATTCACTCAACATAAACAGCTTCCTCCGATCCAGCTGCACGGTTATACTGCATTCAGTTTAATCTTTAAAAATAATTAAGGCAAAACTTTGCTTTGAGTTAAGAAATCTTATCACCTTCTTCACTCTTCCCAACAATCGTTTTGTCAAATCAGCTCCAAACATGTCCTGCAAATCGTTCGAGGACTCCAGTAAAAGCTGTATCCTTTTAAAATAGTTCAGATCATTGCTGCCAGCCTGAGCAAGTCATGATTTACATGTAGGACCCTTTCTTATCCAGAGCCCTCCACCCTCATCATATCACCTCCTTTCACCTCATTAAAAGTATCCTGGAAGGAGACATCAGTGCTGGAAGGGCATGTGCCACTTCTGAAACCAAACCACAGCTTTTACCTTTATTTTTTAAACACAGCTGTTATAAATCATAAAGAATATGAACATGTGACCAGTGCAGAGCTGGTGGAAACATTAGATGTTGCTGTTAAGAGCACCACAAGCAGGAAAACCAGCATAAACATGCAGTTATTCATTACTGAGCAATAATGCATGAAAAGCACTACATCATCAGCGGGCTGTTCATATCTGTGCATAAAAATGTTCACAGTGCCTTAAATCGTTTTTGTTAAAAACCCTGTCAAATGCATCTGAGGTACCACAGAAGAAGAAAGTGTGTGTTTATTAGAGACGGTGGAGGATGTTGAAATAATGTAATGTACAGTAATGTATTGAATGTACAGTAAGCAGTCTTCCTGGTTTAAAGTGATGAAGAAGAGAGAATAATATTGTGCAGAAGCTCAGAGAGCTTCTGCTGTTCAGTGCTCTCATGTTTTAGCTGATTTTTATTATTTTTGCACATCTGTCTTAAAAACATGTTTTAGAGTACACAGTGTAATTTAGAGGAAATATAAAGTCTTAGTAAAGTATTCTTTGCATTAAAGGCAGGCTAATGTGAGCGTATTCTAACACCGTTACAGCCTCCCAGCTGCCTCTCCCTGAGCTTCTGCAGTGCTGCTTCTTGTTGTATGATACAGATGTTTTCCTGTTCCCGTGATAGTGATGCCGTTCACATGCGTGTTCAGTTTGCTGCATTACTCTGTCAACAATCCTGTGGTATTACAAAGTAATGCCTTCACTGGTATCGCTGTCTGTCTCAGCCTGTTTGTTAAGTTATGACCAAAGTTATTCCATCATCTTAAATGACTGTAGTTCCACTGTCGTTAGCATTAGAATAAAACAAATATTGAAACAAAACAAAATGAAATGCGAACACACACAAAAAGTAAATGTTAATGAAGTGAGGCTGAAAAAAGCCTGGTTTCATTCTTAGCTTTAGATTACAGAATCTCAGCACATTTGGTTACACAGCACACAGCAGCCACAGCCTTTAAGAATGACACACGGTTATTCCACCTCAGTTCATCAAACTTAACAAAAACCCTTAAAGAAATACTCTTTTTAAGAAGCTTTGCTTTTCTACCATCACTTTTGAACTTAGTGATGTAGAAGCTGGTGGAGCTCACCAATCCAAATATGTAATAACTAAAATATTCTGTGAATTAAATCCCATGAAGTTTAATAGAATGAAGTTTATGTTCATGTGTCCTGAAATTCAGGATGTTACTTTGAAATATTATTTATGAATTCTGTTATTAATTCCAATAAGAAGTATTTCACTGGAATCTGAGATGGTCAGATTTTGTATTTTTATTCTTTGTGTTTAAATAGGATAAGCTAATGTGGAATGACTGCGACACTTAATCCAACTCACACTCATTAAGTTCTGCTGTTTAAGGCTGTGACATGATTAGTTACATATCAGTAATAAAAATCAGACAGTGTCAGCAGTGTGGATTTAATGCTTTTATTTATTTTTTAATTTTTTTTTTCACAAGGCTGTGAGACTTAGAAAAAAGGAGATCCCAGCTGTGCAGCACCTGCAGTGTGTCCGTGTGCTCGGTCGTGTTTTCGCTCACTGAGCTGTGTGTTTGTGTCGAGCTGTTTTCCTGCTTCTGTCCTGCTGATACAACGGGAAAAAAATACTCGTCTGCAAAACCTCAACTTGTGTCCTGAGTGTAAAAAAAATCTCAAATAACAGATTTTATTTTTGGTAACTTGGGTATTTGTGTGTGTGTGTGTCACTGTATGAAAGTCCAACAACAGAAAAAAAGAGATATGTAATATATGTCCGGCTTGAGATCGTACATACTGTATATGCACAACAGAGTCATTCTGAATACTAGTTGTGACTAAGTTTAATGTGGCCTTTTCTTTCTCTGTATGTATTGCAATGTTGTAAATGATTTGTATATTATAACATAATGTTTATTAAAGTTAATGAGGCTTTATGTTTTTACCACCTATGTTTAATAAATAAATGAACTGTGCTGAACTGCAGAACCTGAGCCTTTATCACCCCACTCCGGTGGGGCTTCGGCCATGCTGATCATTCATATCTGTGCATAAACACATTCCTGGATCCTTAAATCATTATAGGATTCAGTTATTCTCATGATCCAGGTGAGCATCTGCTGTTTTTCTGATGCCTTCCTGTGTCTGCCTTGTGAGCGGAGCCTTGAGTCCACACCTGTTCTGCTGTGCTGCTTGAAAAAGCTCCAGCCTTGGACCCACACCTATACATAAGTACGTAAAATGCATTTATACTGAGCTTTTCAAGAACAGAAGTCACAAACAGTGTTGGTTAAGTTACTTGAAAATAGTAATTAGTTACTAATCACGGATTACTTCTCCAAGAAAGTAATGCCTTTACTCTACTGAATACTTATTTTCAAAAGTAATTAGTTACTTTATTACTTAAATAACTTTAAAAAACATAATGCACAACCTGAATACGTAATAAAGCAATAGACTTTTCAGCCCAATTTTTCTGCATAATCCATCATATAAAATTGTGTTTAAAAATTGTGTATAAAAAGTGTTTTATTAGTTATACTCTTTTAACTTTATGCACATTGCATCAAGCAAAAATTAAATTACATGCAACAGCCTTTGACTTGAGGATATTTGTTTAACATTTAAACCCATTTTCTGCATATTCCAGCATATAAAATATTTTTTGTGTCTACACTCACTCTTTCAAATAAATGCAAGTAAAACACAACAAAAAAATTAATAAAATCAAAGATTTATCAACAGTAAGTCGTGTCGCTCTTTAATCTTATTGTCACCTGTTTAGCAGGAGTGGGGCCGGTGGAGGTTTGCCCAGTGCTGCAGCGGTCATGTCAGTGGGGAGGATCTGAAGGTTTCTCTGTGAATTTCACATTCCTGTGGCAGCGTGCTAGGTGCTTGCTCAGATTTGTAGTTTAATTTTTTTGTTGTAGAAAGAAGTTTTCCTCCCACGCAGTGTACAGCGGACGCTAATGTTTTTGTCACTTTTTACAGAATCAAACTCAAAGTAATGTCAGTACTTCCAAGCTTTAAACACTGCATGGTCGTACTCTCTCCCGCACTGTTGATCTGCACAAGTCTATTGCTGCCACAGACGTCGCATGCTCGTACGTTATTGTCATGAAACACTCTCAGAAACAAAATCACGGTTTAGTAACACAGTAACGCAGCATGCTTACGGGAAAGTAACAGTTATCTAATTACTTTTTGCAATATAATCCCTTACTTTACTGGTAAAGTAATAGGATTACAGCGTTACTGTCTGTGAGTCGTTTGGTACCAGGCCACGAGAGAGGTGAGGTTCTGGTGTGAAATTTATGGTTTTCAGGGTTTTTAGTGTTGTTTAGCGTTATTTTTTATCATTAACTCGGTTTCCCTGGGTCTTTTCTTGTGTGTTATGAATAAATCTTCTTCTTTTTTTGGCACCGGTACGGTTTTTATTTTCTTGTATTTATCCGCAACACCTTAAAGGCTGGTCAGTGAAAATATTGTCGGACAATTGTCACAAAAAAGGTTGGGGACCGCTGATTTAATTATTAAAAAAATAAAATGTAAAAATTGTACAGATCGATAAAGTTAAATCAAATCCAGCCTGCAGAGCTGCACTACACAGATCATTCTCTTCTCTTCACAATACTTACCGTAAAATGAATTTTGGGGGAAAAAAAGCACTTTTGAAATCTAAAAGTGAGGTCAGAGGTCAAATATGGCATGATATAATATGATACTTTCCTAAATGAAAACAAAGGCAGCAGAATTTTTAAAGAAAATACATTTTTATGAAACTTTGACCTTATTTGACCTTGAAGGAGAGGTAAGAGGTCAAATGTCTTGTCATATTTTAAATCTTTATACAGTATTTTGTATATGTTGGCAATGCACAGCACACTTCTAATGCTTTTTTTCTGTTAGCGTGACCCCACTCTGAACCCTACAGGGTGTTATCTGCGTTATCGTGATTACAGACAGAACGACACACAAATGCTGCCAAAAACATGACAAAAAATCAAACAGATTTTATCAGGAATGACTCTAATGCAAAGAAGACTGAAGTACAGGAAGCACAGAAAGTGGCTTTTCAATCATTTACATACTAGAAAATTGAAAAAGAAGAAACATGAAGACAAAGATAAATGATAATTAATAACTGGTTAGCATTCAATTTTATTACCCTTAATGATTAGTTATTTATTTCGATCTATTTGAGATACTTGAAGGGAAATATCATAAGAGAATAACTGGGTCCAAAATGAGACTTCATTTCAAGGGTCCTCTGGTTTCTGCTCTGTAGCAAAAATGTTCCCCATGCTGAGACATGAAACACTTTTACATGTCTGCATCTTCCTAACGCATAAATTCACGTCTCTGTTTCTGTTGTAACATTTAACCTGATGTAATCGGTGCGACCTGTGGCTGCAGCTGCAGTGCTGGGACATTTGGAGTCGTATCGTTTGCTAACAGCTTGACTCGTGTTTGCAGAGCCGTGTAGATCCGGCAGATAACCTGCGTTCCTGCTACTCCAGCATTCCCTGCTCTCATTCAAAAATAATGACCTGGCATTGCTGGGAAACAGATCCGTTACATAAGAAACCTGCAGAAAGTCAAGCCTCCACTGAGCCGAGGCCATTAGCACCGAGAGCTCTACACTCAGACACTCTCAGTGTATTCATATATATTTTTGGCTCATTTTAGAGAACCTGAATATTTAAGGGTAAATTTAAATGTTCTAACTGTGTGTCTTTATACTTCCACAATAATCTACTACTGATACCTATTATTTAATACATCTGATAATTACCTCTGTTATTTTATTCTTGCATGCATCTATGAATAGTTTCTAATTTTAATGATGAAATCTTGCTGTGTAGTATTATAGCTACAGGACTGTCATATACACGTAAACAAATATTATAATCTCATATTTACCAGATTGATATAACTGATTACTTTTTATTTGCAGTTTTAAAAATAAGTTCTGTTGGTAGCTTTTCCTTAGAAACAGCTACAACTTTTGGTTTTACATGTTAACAAAAATGTATAATGGATTTTGACCTCATAGGCCATGAATTCTGCAATTAAATGTATCACATGGGTCCAAACAACAAACCTGAATATTAATAGAACACAGTGGCAGCATTTAAATAATTATACAGAAAACCATGAATGAATCAAAAAACGTGTTTTCTCTAAAATTCTTGAATAAGAAAGACGTACATATGTAGGATGTTCTCGCTATTGTAAATAGTAATCTGTCATAATCTGCACTTGAAAGTTAAGATGGAAACATCTTCTGACTGAAACTGATCTCCTGCTGAATATATAGGATGATTCAGTGGAAAATCCACAGTAAGAAGCCATGGGTCTATGATTGTGTGGATTCCTGCCTCCAAACAGAAAGCTTCCTCTGAGGCCAGAGGCGCCCAGCGAGTCCTGTGATGACAGCGTAATGTGATGGCCCAGATTAATGACCAGCGGCTACGAGCCATCTTTAAATGGATGGGAATGTCCTTGGATTACCGGCTAATCCCAGTTGAGATTTGAGAGATGAGTGAACTTTGTGGACATGATAAAGCCCAGCGATGGCTGTGTGTGAAGCAAAGATTAATCGTCTAACATGAAAGCACCACACAAAGCTATGGTGAACTCTTCACCTTGGTCAGCTGCTGCTGATTACACTGATTACATGAAATAAGCCCTTTATTGACATGTCGCACAGAGGACCCTGCTAACAAAGACCTTGTTAAGCTCGTTTCTACGAATACCTCCATCTATATTAAACCCCACCCACCCCCTTGTGTGTAGATGGATTACTGAACGGCCTGCAGAGGGCTGAGAGGTCATGCTCTGCTGCACTTTGATGCTCAGCTCAACACGAAGTGGAACAACCCCTTTGGTGAGATAATCTCAACACACTATGAACTATGAACACCGGAGACATATTCCAGGAATATAGGAGGAGCTTTTTGTTATTGATGTCTTTAAAAAGAACCTTAGGCCTTCTATGCAACAAAGGAACTTACTCTAATTTTACTTTTATTTTTTAAAATCTTTCACTTCTGCTGGGTATTTATTTGTATTCAACTAGACAAGAAAACTTTTGCAAACAAGAACGGTAAATTTACTCTATTTTTTCCATTCATTTATTTATTTATTTTCAAATGGCTAGTTAGGCTACCTGGCAGATCAGCCCACGGAGTTTGGATTAATTGATTGACTGTCACGGTTCTCGGTCATTGTGACCCAGCTTTTTCTGTTTCTTTTTTGGTGTTTTTCTAAATTATGATTTGTTTGGGTTTTTGAGTTGTGCTGGTTTGATTTTGCATTAAGGGTTATTCTTGGTTTTGTTCTCTTTACGTTATTTGTTTTTCTGGCCTCTAGTTCAATGTTAATATTCTTTCTGTCTATCTCTCAGTGTCAAGCTTGCGTTTTTGTGATTTGTTTCTTATTTCCTGTTTTATTTTATTTGTCAGTGTATTCAGTTTTACCTGCCCCTGTGTCGTTAGCCCTCTCTCCGTGCAGTCTCCAGTGATCGCCCTGTCGCTAAACTGCTTGGCCACCGGTGGATTTGCTCCGTCTCACAGCAAGCCCAGCCCTTCCAGCGGCATGCCTCCCTGCTCGGACCTGGATCGCCTCGTACAGACGTGGTGTCAACCACAGCAACCTCAGGGCCCTGCAACGTGCTACTCGTGCGGATGCTGCGCCCTGGACACTGATGGCTCTTTTCAACGTCAGGTCGCTGGTAAATAAGACCTTTGTGTTAAACGACTTTTTCTCCACCACGAGCCTTGATGCTCTCTTTCTGACGGAGACTTGGATTCGCCCTGGTGAGTTGCTTCCTTTTTCTGAGCTTCTCCCCCCGGTCCCCACTGTGTCTTTTTTAGCTCTCCGAGGCTTACTGGCAGAGGTGGTGGCTTAGCCTCGGTCTCTAAATGTAAATACA